CTTCCTCTCACTTTGTGGGTTTATTATGCACGCTGAATCTTATTATGGTCTATTTTTTTTTTTGATGATCTGAATTTGATACTGAACCAAGTTCTTGCAATTAAAACTTCTGTTGCAATCCTGGTAACAATGATCACATCTGATTATTTTCATCTCGACGTGTCCGAGCCAACATGGATAACAGATCTGAGGAGGAAGATATTCACACGCTGGTTGAAATAGGACTCAAGTGCTCAGTGCTTGTTTATGCTCATCAAGTCACTTTTGTTTTTTTACACACAAATTGATGAAAGCATAAGGAAAGAGAGACATGCCGGAAAGAAAACCAGCAAAAATGACTCTGTTTCCCCAAGGAAAATGAAGAAATTATAACATTTGTAGTATATGTAGATCATCATTTGATATTTTACATGTAACTTAGTGTTTCTATTTTGGAGAAGTAGTAATATATAAACAAGCTTTTATATTTATTCTTTCCCCCCTGTTTCTTCTGTCAAATAAAACCGCCTTTTTCTCCAACACTGAAATCCCATTTGTTTAATAGTTTTAAAGATCTCTCCCTGATATACGTCCCATCAATCTATCCCATTCCTTGAACAATAAATGCATCAAATCTAAGAGGCAAAACGCTCTTAAAACGCTGTGTCAGAGTGCCTGTACGGTAAAGTCTCTTGGCACCAGAAGTCCTCCCTCACACTCTCTCTAAGTTGAGTCCGGCCATCCATGAAAATGCTGTTCAATATTTAATTACAGCCAGTCCGAAGGTGACCAGTTGAGATGAGTGGGACTATTTAGCTCAAGTACAGTATAGGCGGCTGAACACTGTTATAATCCAATTGCTGCAATCGAAACAGATTATGTAAAACTTGAACTACCTTTCAACTACCTATTTGCTTGTCATTTTTTTTATTACAATATCGCTTAAACCAACTGATAAAATTGAACTTAGTAGGAATTCCCACTTTGGTATGAGCTCTTGACTGATTTTAATTGCCATGTTTTTATTTGGTTTTATATTTTGTTGTGTTGTCTGTGTTGTTTATTTGTTTTCATTTATGTTTTATGGTGATGTTGTCCTTGTGTTTCCTGTCTTCTGTGTGCTCCTGCTGCAATGCAAATTTTTCCTTGTGGGACAATAAGTTTCTGAAATCTGAAAATCTAAAATCTGAAAATATACTTTGTCAACACACAATGTTTGACATTTAAACCTGCTTGGATTGGATGTCACATATGTACACATTGTCAAGAAAAATACGAGAGATGTTGTTTTGAACAGAATAGAAAATATTTTTTTCAAAGGGACCACTAACTATTTTGAGTATGGTGTTCTGTATTCTATGAGGAACTTTTATAAATAAATTAGCTACAAGTATTTTCAAAAAGAACAAGAAAAGCAAGCAGCACTGTCAGGATTTTCTTCATCTAGTAATCTGGTGAACAAGACATTTTCAAATACAAACTGAAGTGCTGCTTCTGCTTCTTCTTGCTCGTGTGCAGCCCTATAATCTGCATTATCGTTCAATATGTTTTTGTGAATAAAGAAAAGTAAGTGTCTTTGAAACTCCCTGCTCTGAGCCAGGAGTGTGTATTATCAAGTTGCTTTCTGGGTCTGGTCTCACTGCCAGACAGTCGTTGGAGTTGCTTTAACATTTTGGATAAAGTTACATAATGTGACAAATAATAAAATAATTGAATATTTACAGGATATTCATACTGGCAGACTCTTCAGTGCTTGAATACTCTTTTTTAGTAAGATTTTTTGGGGGCTTTTTATACCTTTATTAGAGAGACAGGACAGTGGATAGAGTTAGAAATAATGGAGAGAGAGAGAGAGTGGGAAAGGAGCCACCGGCCGGAACAGACCTTCAAGAGTTACAGCCTCTGTACATGGGGCACGCAAACTAACCACTAGGCCACCGGCGCCCCTTGAATACGTATGCATTGAAAAAGTATGCATTAAGCCTGCTATTGGTTTAGATTCGAAGTTGTTGGACATACCAAATAATTCACCTTCTGTTTCACATACTACAAACTATATAGCATGTTAGGATGACATTTTCTGATTCTTTGATCTCAAACAAATATTTAGCCCCACTTTTACTTTGTTAAGACGTTAAATGAAGTTAGTATAGGGGAACAAATTGCATGAAATGTGTCTCTGATTTTCTGTGAAGATCAGCAGTCTTTAATCCTTAACATCACAAGGAAGAGGATTATGAAGGGAGAAAATGGTAACACTTATCTGAACTCTCCATAAGTCTGCATAACAAACTTGTAACAAAAAAAAAGGATACAATTTGGGATTTTATATGCTATAAAAGTCAGACATCCAAAAAACCAAGAGGGCAGTTAAATAGGAAGGCAATGACATGGTGATTGCATCAGAAAGGTGCCCGCATTGTTTCCATCTGCAGCACTCCGAGAGATTTCTCAGAGGACCTATTTTTTTTTGTCTTCCTGAGGATTTTTAAATGAATATATTGTGTTTCATTAGTTTCCAGCTTGCATTTTCTGGCAAACCATGTGTGTAAAAAACACTTTAAGCGTGACCGGTTCATTTCCACACAAGCTTAAGACATTGAATAACATGCGTGTGTGTCTGAAACTCTGGTTATGGCTCATAAACACTCTTATTTGTTAGCATAATTTCAGCTATGAAGAGGGATAACATGGCACTTCTCCCACAAATTGAGGATAAGCAGAGAGTAGAGAGAGGGAGGGAGAGAGAGAGAGAGAGAGAGAGAGAGAGAGAGAGAGAGAAAAAAAAGAAAAGAAGCATTCACATTCACAACCTCGCACAAACACTCACACACATAATCATGCAAACAATCACTGTCTATTCAGGGCTGCAGCAGATATCACTTGTGCTTTCTGTGCAAACAGATTTATGCTAGTGAGGTAAATTGAGGTCTAGATTAATTTTGCACTGCTGTATCAGGTTGACAGACTGAAGCTCGACCATGCATAAATGTGTGTGTGTGTGTGTGTGCGTGTGTGTTTGAGCTGAATGTGATTCTTTGTGTGGATACATGCAGCCTGAGTTGATGCATGAGTGCTGGAATCAGATGAGGTGTATACATTTGAGGCAAATGAAAGCTCTCATGTTTGATTTTGGGCTCTACAGGAAAATGGGTTATCGCTTGTCAAGATTCCCTCAGACATGAACACATTACTCTTGAGTGTACACACACACAGAAAATACACTAATTTCGACTTTGATTCATGTAAGCCTACCTACCTTTACATGAACATGCTCCCGTCTTTCCGTAGATATATATCAGTGTTCACAACAATTACCTTGACAGATTCAGGGAAAGAGAGAAGAACGCTGTGAGGGAGACAATGAAAAAGTCAAGCGCACACAAAATTAAACACGTGTACACACATGCTGTATAATGAGTATATTACGGTGCGCACTTACACGGCTCATGTAGTCTTGCATAAGCCCAAAGGTTGACAAATACACTGGATTCATGATCTCAATCCCATCACCCTGGCAGCACTCAAAGGACGGCCGCTCTCGGTGATTAGATCATTTCCTGGTCGTGTCTTAAGCCTACGAGGCAGATCGATAGCATGCACACAAACACAGCAACACACGATCAATGTATATTAGTTACCTTTCTGTTGATACCGGGCTTAAGAGAGTCCTGACAGCCTGCACCTCTCTTCAGCTGCTTTGCCTTGACACCGGGCTCTGCTGGATGCAGCATCTACGCGAGTTAAAACGGACGCAATGGCATGTACAGCAGGGGACCATTAGACACTGTGGTAATAATAATGCTGAGGTGTTTGTGCAATTGTGTGTCTGCTAGGGCACACAGGGGTCACTTCTTGTCTTCCTATCCTCCTTCTCTTTTCCGCTCACCTCTGTTCCCGTGTGCAGGCATATTACTGAAGCAAATTGAGGCCAATAGACTCTGTCACCGCATGACCCAGGGCTCAACAAACAGAAAAAGGAGCAAGCCAGTAAGAGAGAAAAGCCAAATAGAGGGGATAAAAGGGGAGATAAAGGGAATGGAGAGAAAGAGAGTTGGAGGAGGAGGAAAGACAGGCTTGGACAGCTAGCGACGAGAGAGAGAGAGAGCCAGGAAGTGGACACAGGAAAGAGAAAAAAAACTGAGCGAGAAAAGGAGAGAAAGAAGTGACAACCTCAAATTAAATTCCCATCATGTCAGTGTAGAACAGAATTCAATAGTGTTTATTGGCAGCCCCCAGCCTCAGGGAAATTACATTCTGAAGCAGAGCATGGCATGAATGCACATACACTCCTCAACACATAAGGACACACATCCATTGTACACAACAGTGTGCATGTCCTCCAACCCAAAAACCCTCTGGCTGATGTGAGCATGCAGACAAGCGATTTATCCCCCGAGGACAATGTGCCATTTGTTCAGTGAATGTAAGTGTGTGTGTGTGTGTGTGTGTCGTGTAGCTGTTGGTCCATGTGCTTTTTACACACCTTTATATGTATGTGTTATTTCCTGGAATTTCTTCTTCTTCTTCACATGCAACCTTTTTTACCCCGTGTACTGAAGTCTAAGTAGTGCACTTTTTCTGTCGGTCTGTCAGGCACAATTGCCGCTTTCTCTGCAGTCAAACTTTGGACTATTTGCCATTACGGTACAAACGCAGGTTTTTTATTATAGTGGCTGTATTAAATGTGTCCCCAGGCTCAAGTCGCCATGAGCGCAGGGCTTCAATGCCTTTGTCCAACCTCCAGCAGCAGAAAAGGCATCGTGCTTTAATGGGATGCTGTTTAACAGTTTTATGCAGAGCACATGTAGAGGCTATTACTGCTGATGTCTCCGGGATGCAGATTTGCTCTAAATGGCTAACAATCTGCCATTCTTTCACCCCCCCCACCCACCCCACCCATCCCTCCATCCCCTCTCCTCCTGCTTTCAATTTCTGCCCCCCCCCCCAACCCTTTACGTCTCTGTCTGTTTATGCCTCTATCTCAACTCTCTCTCTCTTTTTTCTTTCTCGTTCTGCAGGAGCGTGCAGAGAGGGCTTTGGGCTGCTCAGCGGAGGATCTGAAGGCTCTTTTCTACTGCGAGCTGTGTCACAAGCAGTACCTCAGACACCAGGAGTTTGACAACCACATCAATTCTTACGACCATGCACACAAGCAGGTACATGAGAAGCTCTTGCACCACAACCACAGCACTTCTGTTATGTAACAACACGCAAAACAGACGCGCACAAGTGAGCAGACTTTTTTTTTTGTATGATCTCCTGTCATTGCATTCAGGTGTGTTACCTATATGTGTATGTGGATGGAAAGCTACATATCAGTCTGTCCAATACCGTTTCTCAGTAGGTAACAGTAGGAGTGTGACAACCACATCATGTCTTACAAGCACACACGCAGCGCTGGAATACCACATCTCTAGGCAGAAATACATAAACACAATGCGTAAAAATATACATGCAGACATAGTGGAGCATTGCATTTATAGAATAACTTCAGATAAACATTATTGATTCCATGTGGGGGCATCAAACCGCTTCAGAGAAGTTAAATATAACATGAAAATAACCCCCTTTAAAGTAATTGTGTGTGTTTTTACTTTTTCTTATTTTCATTGTTTGGGGATTTAATTAAGTACTATGTGTATTACATTGCTGTTTTTAATATTTCATCACTTTGTGACAATAAGACCTTGGAATTTAGAGGAATAGTGCTGCATTAAAAATAATGTCTTCACTAAGAGCACTTGATATTTCACCTTTTTCAAATCTAACAAACAGAAGGATAATCTCCAGCAGAATAAAAGAAAATATTTTCTTATTTAATTATTGGAAATGACGGAATCCAATAATTTAACAATGTTAGGTACTTTCTTAATAAGGTAAAAAAAATTGAGGTTAAAAAAACAAGGTTACAAAAGTGTTACTTAAACAAAAATTTTCGGAGATGATCAGTTTGGGTAAATTGTCTCATTCTTATCCTTGAAGAAAGGAGAAAGTAACCACCGCAACCTGAAGGAACATTTTTTTTGATTATTTGACTTTTACTCATCTTAAAGTTACTTTACTTCAGTTAAAAAATTAGAGCAGCTGATTTATCTATATCTTGTACATAAGGATGTCCCAAGAAATAATCTATTTTCTTCCATTCTCAAGATAAATGAATTTTCTCTCCCAAATAAAACATCAAGTTATTAGTCACAGCTCAAGTAATATTCTATTTTCCTAGTTTGGACAAGATAAGGCCAATGGACCATTAGGAACAGGCCCGGCAGCAGGTTTCCTCCTGCCCTGTGCTTTCACATCCATTTTCATACACAACCTCCACTCAAGACTAACAAGCTGAAGGTTCTGCTGATAGCATACTCTCCTACAGCTATCTGTCATGCCAACACATACACGCACACAAAAACATACAGACATTCAGCGCACAACGCCGTTCGACGATCTCTCGACCGAGCTGAGCCGCTTCCCACTTCAGAACGCCCACACCGTGCAACATGAAATAAACATGAAATAAAACTGTTCCTTCACCGTCATTGTTCTTTGAAAATGAATTGAAGCAACTGCAGGCCAATGTTAATGCTTTGTTTTCGCCAGCGGCAGGCACATGAAATGAGCTGCATGAGGCACTGAGCTGACAGTAGCCACTGGCATTGCAGGAACACACACACACACACACACGCACGCACGCGCACGCACACACACACACACACACGCACGCACACAACACACACACACACACAGACAGACACAGGCATGCATGTACACACAGCCTACCGAGCAGACAACAGATGAAATTCCAGCAGAAGACAGTGTCCCTGCAGGAGTATTGGCTTTGCAGAATAGAAGCTGATTGCATATGCCCTGTCTCCTTTCCTTGTCATCGATTCAGGGATAAACATGTCTGAATGCAACGCTTTGTCAGCAATACAGAAATTGTTCATTACAACAGAATTACACTTCACTTTTTTAAATAATAAAAAAGCAATCAGCCCATTAGCATGGCCCCTCACATGCTGCCTAAGAATACATCATCCCTCATTCGGAGGGCCTGGTGGATATGAATCAACTCTGACTCATCCGTAGTTGCCTCAGCCCGAGCGCTCCTTAACACATCTAAAGGAATATTGATCGAGGCTTTGACAGACGGATTGAGCTTCACAGCACATAGCGAGACTGGCATGTTGGAGAGCGGGAGTAATAACGCTTCCCTGCTGTTGGGGACATGACATCATCTTTGAAGACAAAAGTATCTTAACTTTAGAATGGGTAACGGAAATATCTCCGCTCAGTGTACTCAGCGAAAAATGGTTCAGCGTGCAGTATTTTGTTTGGCACTAAATATAGTTACAGGTTTGCCTGCAGTGGGGCCTGTTTTTAAGGGAGAACAATAAGCTGGCAGGGTGCAAAATGCAGGAGGAAGGAGGAAGTATTCATCTTCATATATTCCATCTATTGTACTCTCTTCTCTCTCTCTCCCTCTCTCAGTCATTGCCATGGACAGCTACAGTGCAACCACCAATCTTTTCCTCCTCGTTCTGTCCAAAGCAGTTCATTATGCATGCCTCTCTGCTTAAACATGATTAATATTTCCCATAGAATGAGTCTGGCATCAAAGCCCCTCAAAGCTTTTCGCTGCACACTAACAAAACACACACATGCACGTACACACATGTGTCATGTATGTTTAAGGAACATTCTTAATGCCGTCTTCAGCAGGCTGACAGCGGGATGGTAAGCATGGGGCGATAATGGTAAAAGACACACGATTGTGTTAGACTCAGCAGAGATTAACCTGAAGAGTGTCAGCTGCAGCAGAAGATCTGTGTGTGAAAGACAGTGAGTGTATAAATAATTCTGATGTCTGAGGGGCTAATCTGATGTGTGCATGAGTGTGTGTGTGTGCGTGTGTGTGTGTGTGTGAGTGATACAAACTGTATGGGTGGATAATAGCATAACATAATCTGAAAGTGAGAGTGGTGTAATCCTGTTGCAATTTATACTACAGGATAAGTTCCAAAATATATAAGATAAACAACAAATCCTGAGTTCATAAGCCGGGGTTGGGTTGCACAATGAGGTAGCTTGAATCTACAGGGAGGTGAGAGAGAATAAGACAGGAGATCGGAGGGATAGGCATGATACTGCAGCTATTTCCAAACTCTTTAGTCCATACACACACACACACACACGCACGCACACACGCACGCGCACGCACACGCCAAGCATGGATAAAGGGGGGGATTAAAGTGTGACAGAAAAGGAAACCGGAGAAAGAGGCATGAATCATTGTTTCCCTGGGAGTATTGGCACACCTATAGCGACAGACACACAAATATACACATGCACACTGGCACAACAGGGATAATTGTTTTTGTTTTTTTTACTTTGCTTTAATGCATTTTAGGCCCACCAGTTTGCTCAAAATTAAATCACTTGTACTACCTTGTAGTTCTATGACAGGTTATGTTTCCTAATTTTTTGTTACACCCACACACAGCAGATACTATGATCGAGTATTTTTTAAACGAAATCTCCGGCCTTTATAAAGCCTCAAATAGTTATTTTGCCAATGATAAAAGGTCGGGCCTTTGTGTTTTGTGTTGTGGTATGCAATTTCTCCAACAGCAAATCAAGGCCTGAAAAGCTTCTAAGGACATGTAATTGGAGCACAAGTTCTACAAAACCGACTGATGAAGGATTGAATATTTGAGAAATGTCAGTGGAAAGAGCATCATTATCATTATATCACTCTTGTCACTCACCCCAAACTGTGTCTGTAATCTGCTATTCACCAGCTTTGTTGTGTTTGCTTCCAAGCTGTGTGTTGGAGGAAAGACTCTTTCTTCCGGGCTGAATGGAGTTAATTGGACATGAGCTTTGGAGGAGAACATCTGCAAATGGTGCTGACTGATGTGTGTGATTTGAAAGACAGCTGCCTGCAGAGAGCTTCCTAACACTAGTCTCTCCCTCTCTCTTCTTTTCTTGCTGCCCTCCACATATATATATTTTTTTTCCATCGCTCTTTCTACCAGAGACTGAAGGAACTCCAGCAAAGGGAGTTTGCTCGAAACGTGGCCTCGAAATCATGGAAGGATCAGCGCAAACAGGAGAAGGCTCTCAGACGTCTGCACCAGCTGGCACAGCTGCAACAGGAGACTCAGCGGTGAGTGACTGTGTGTGTGTGTGTGTGTGTGTGTGTGTGTGTGTGTGTGTGTGTGTGTGTGAGACTGCAGGGGCATGATCCAGAGGGGTTAGAAAGCGTCACATCCAGTCAATGGTTCTGCGACTTGATGGATGCATCCACAGATGTGAAAGCACCCAGTCCTATAGGCCACAGGTGAAGTAAATATAACGTTCTGACACATTCTTGTTGAGAGTAGATGATTTAAAGGAGAAAGAGATCAAGTTTGAGAAAGGGATGGATGGTAGAGGAAAGTTTTCTGTTAAAGAAGTAAATAAAAATAGTGAAACGAGTTAAATATTAATCTCACCTCCAGGTTTGCAAACCTAAAGCAATCAAAACAACAAATCAAAGACAATACATCACGTAATCATCATCTTGATTGCACCTTTTCCCTCTGCAATTAAATGTGTTTTTCCTATAATCAGGCAATGATATGTGATCAGCATCACTATGACTACTAATATCTTGCCTACGTTTTTTCTTTCTTTCTTTGTTGAAGGCTATTTTCTGTGCTTCTTTTGTTCCCTTCTTTGTTTTGTTTTACTCTCTTCAAGTCTTACTTTTCCTTTTTCTTTTTCTACTTTTCTTCTCTAATTAGCATACATATTATATATTAAAAACAAAGTAGTTCAGTCTTAATAACCTCTGTGGTAAGAAACATCATGTCCTGTTATTGCATACCAAAATACTTGTACGGTACATAATTCTACCTGCGTACTTATTAAATGTTTATTTCATTAAATTTTAATTCTAAGCTATTATAATTATACATTACACTCGGCCCTTATCTAAATGACCTGCTATTGGAATACACAATGCTTTAATCAGGACTCTCATTTTGGACTGCAAGCTAAAGTACATAACATTCTTGCAATATTTGTCTTTTGTAATTTTATAATCAATTTATTTGAATAAGCTGCATTAATTAATTTAAAGTAAAGTTAATTTGGTTTCTAAAGTAGTTTATTTATGCTTCTGAAGCATATTCTCATAATGGCTTAAACTTTGCAAATTTTATATTGAATTCAATTCAAGACACTTTAGCCAAGTGAAGTGAAGCAAAGTTCAATCAACTAAAATAAGGTATATTAATATGACTTTCTTTTGCAGAGTCTCAGGAAGGACTTATGGACTAAGAAGTGCTGTCAGGTCTGGGAGGCAGCAACACTACAAAGATGTGGACCAAAAGGACCACAGCTGGGATGACAAACATGAACCCTTCAACTACTCCCTGAGACCCCCTCCCACTCAAGCCAGGACCGCTCCTCTCATTAACCAGCCAGAAATTCCAAACCATTCTCCTCCCCGAAAAGGGTTGCCCACTGCTCCAGCAGAATCACCTCCTGCATCCACTGCAGTGAGCCCCCAGTCTTGCCTGGGCTTGTATCCCCAGCTGTCTCTCTCTGGGCAGGGAAAGGCAGGGGGCAGGCTTGGGGTGTCCTTCTGTTTCTCCCGCAGGGGGCCACGACTTGAGCCTTCTGCCTCAGTCTTCTCTGACCTGGAGGAGGAGGAGAGAGAGAAGAGGGAACAAATAAAAGAAAGGATAAAGGGAATAATGGAAGATATTGACAGAGAAATAGGGTCAGCAGAAGAGGGGAAACACAGTGAGAGTGAAAAGTCCAGCTCAGACAGTGTTGGATCGAGTGACATTGGGCCTATCAGTGATTATCACAAACAAGAAGAGGGGATGGGAAAAAGAGACTGTGAGAAAGACAAATCTCCTATTTCCACAGAAATTCCCGATAATCAGAGCCAGGAATCTCCTGTCTTGCCATCTCAAACACATGTGGACACATGGGGAACAAAAACAGATAGTGAGACAGAAAGAAAGCATGTGACAGAAGGGTTGAGGGAGAAAAGTCAGAATATGTCGGTGCTGGGGAAAGATGGCTCTACCTGTCTTAGATGGCCTGTCAGCTTGCTCAAGTTCACTATTTCTCAACCAAACATCTGCTACAGCTGCAACCCGCTCTGCTCGGATCACCAACGACAAGAACAACTCACAAAGGATCAGCAGGAGCCACAACAAAATCAGTTGTGTGCTCTCTCAGTCGAATCAAATCCATGTGTGCCAGCTATTCTTACACCAGACACTCATACCTGTTTACCAAGACAGACAAGACAAGAACTGAGAGTGGAAAGACAGGAAAAAGTGGAGGCAAATTTCAAGGCAGCACAACATATCAATTTAGACACAGAAGCACACCTGTTCCTAAAGAACAAAAACCTTTCATCGTCAGAATCACCATTAGAAAGAGGCAGATGCACGCTAAGTATAGAGAACAGTGCGAGGGCAGCCTCCCATCCATTTGACCCCGCTCATAGTGACAGCTCTGACACAAACTCCCAGAATGCTCAGGGAGGAAGATTAGGGGGCGCGAGAAGGATCAGGGAGAAAGCCATCACAGCCCTGAGCTGTAAATCAGAGTCTGTCATCCAGCCTGGCACACAGGGGACAAGCATCAGCCCGTCCAGGTGTGAGTGTGGGAGTGAGACAATGTGCGAGTGTGCCAGATCTGCACAGCCGTACGTGGGTGTCTCAGAAGTGCCACGCAAAAAGAGAAAGAAAGCCAACACAAAGAAACACAAGCTGGGGAAGAGGAAAAGGAGCGCTTCAAACAAGCAACAATCGGCTAGGTGCAAAGTCAGGAGCGTTGTCTCCACAGTCTGCACTCGAAAAGAGAGTAGAGGAGAAGCTGTGGGGAGCTGGGGGAAGGAAAGGAGGCAAAGAGGGATGAGGAAGAGGAGATTGCAGGGAGCAGGGAGCAGCTGTCTCCTGGGGAGATGTGACACTGAGCCAGTATCTGTCTCTGTCAGGAAAAGGGGGCCTCACAGGAGCCACAGCACTGAATCCCAGTCATGGGCAGACAGGGAGCAGGCAGAATCTTGCACTTCTTCCTCACTGCTCAGCAGACACACAGCAGACACAAACACCAAGGGAGAGGGAAAGCGACACGGAGACACAGCGACTTTTCCCTGGCGGTCTCACTTCTCCGTACACTCTTTCTCACCAGGATGTAACTCAAAGCTGTTTTGGGAAAGGGGTCACCATAGCAACCCCAGGAGTTTCATTGACTGCTGTTACCCTGACAACAGCTGTGGTTGCAGCCCGGTGAGAAAGAGAAAAATCCTCCACAGGGACAGGAAATTCATTCATAGTCAGAGGAAGAGTTTGAGGCATGGGGAAGTCTGGGAGGACACAGAGAGGACCTGGTTAACGGGAGGGCGGTCAGGTTGTAGAGACAGGGGGAAGTTTCCTGATACAGAACAGTGGGATTGGATGCGAGGGACCTTTCCTGGAGGTACTGACGAGGGTGCTTCAAGGTCTTGGGCGAGATCACGAAGCAGAACAGAAGAGTGGGATCAGGTGGCAAGGTTTAGTCCCAGTCCTTGCAGGTGGGACAGGAGACGTAGACATCTTAGCACAGAGGATGTAGACTGGGACAGATGGACATGGGGCAGCAGCGACAGCTGGGAGGACTGGGGGACACACAGATCAGGATCCAAGGCAGGGGCAGACAGAGACAGCCCAGGCTTTATGCGGAAGAATTCACGCTCTAGAAGCTCAAGCTCCAGACACTTCTCCAGCCCTGAGTGGTGGACAAAAAAACAGACTTACAGCCCCCGGAGTGTGATCAACACACGGGCAGGCAGATGCCACAGCCCACGATCCTGCAGCCCCTGCAGCAGCACCAACATGTCAGAACTCAGTTTAGAGTGGAGCCAGAGTAGTTCCTGCTCAGCGGGCAAAGTTGATGGATTGGCTTTTAACTCTTGCAGGACTTCCTCAAGAGCTCAAGAACTTTCATCTGAGGGGGAAAAGAAGCACAGTAGTCCCATGTCCTCTCCTTCCAGCTTTACCTCCTCCTGCTTCTCTCATTCTTCACCCCAGAGGACCTCTTTTGCTCATGTTGACACAAGTTCCTCTAAGCAAAAGGAGCCAAATCCACAGGCGAACGTTCAAGGTGGACCATCTTCCCCAAGCAGGCCAGGCACAACTCTTGCAGGACAAGCCCCAAGTAATTCTCCTTCTAGAAAACTAGCAAGGACTTTGCTTCTCCCTCTTATAGGGAAACTACCTTCAATCCAGAGGAAGGCTAGGAGGTGGAAAGGCCTGCTGGAGAAGAGTCAGGAGAAGGAGGGAGATGAGGATGAGGAGACCAAAGGTAGTGGTGGACTGGAAGAGGGAGCAGTCATCGAAAGGCAAAATTGTCCTATGGGAATCTTAGAGTCAAGCTCAAGCAACTTACCAAATCTCTCCTCATCAAATATAAGGACAGATGACAAACAAGCAAGTGGCCGGACTGTTGCTCCAATTAGCTTCACCGCTGAGGAGATGGACAAATATCGCCCCCTGCAAGAGCAGGCGAGAGAGCACATGCAGAAAGTCCTGGAGCAGACGCATAGTGCAGAGTCACACACAGGAACGAACTACCCTCACACGGCACTGTCAGAAAACTCTGGAACTTCAGAGGAACAGTATACACCTTCCTTGCACACCCAGTCAATTCACATAGACATAATGCAAACCCAAGCACAGCACACCCATGAGGTCAGTGTCCCACTTCCACATCTGACCCGACAGGAGAACTTTACTCAATCCATGGCTCTTGGAGTCCCCAACCTCCCGACTCTTCCACCATCTCCCCCTCTCTCAAGCCTCCATCATATCATTTTGCAACACACAGCCCTCTCCTTGGCCCCCTCTTCCACATCCTCTTCCACCTCATCCCCTTCCCCTGCCATCCACCCACACCCAGTTCAGCTCCCTCACCCCCTGCCTCCTCTCCACCCACCAACTCTCCCTCATCACCTTCATCTCTCTCCCTTCTCCATATCTTCTTTATTCCCCTCAATCTTGCTCTCCCACCACCCCATCCAGCTCCTTCCCCAGTCACCCACTTTTCACCCCGCCCAACTTGCTCCACTCTCTCCGGTCTCCCTGCAAACGTTGAACCCACAGCCTTTCATGGAACGAGTGTGGCCAGTGAGGTTTCAACAGAAGGCGTTGTGATTTTTTTACAGAGCGGCTGCCATGTTATTAATCTCCCCTTGGCAACTCAGACAAGTAAAGGAGAGAGAGGGAAATTTTGGTTTGGATAAAAGCCGACTTTTAGAAATGGGGATGTGTCAGTGCTTTTACGAGCATCTACTCCAACTCTTATTCACATATGCCCTTACACACACACACACACACACACACACACACACACACACACACACACACACACACACACACATACATGCATGCACACACAAACAGCTTGGCAATCGACTGTTTTCAAGTGAGAATTTGTTTCTCCATCTAGCCTTTGCTGTCTTGCAGTAGATAGTGGGAAAACATACTTTGATCCTTTGCTTTTTCCTTCATTCCACATTCAGGCCAACAATAAAGGGAAGGTGCACCTGCTATTCAAAGACAAGCTGGGCTTGTGTCATCCTCCCTCTTTCCCTCTGAACCACAGACAGACCAGCTGCCTTTTGAAGTAGCCTTCATGCTAGAGACAGAAGTCCAAGAAAAAAGTACTCCCTCCTTATCTCCATTTCATACAGGTTATCTTACTGAGACTCTATCTTTCAACACATATAAATGATGTTCCAGGGGCTGAGGGCATAGCACAGTCATTTTAACCTTTCTCTACACTGCATTTATGTGCAAGAAAAAAGGTTTTCTGGACTTAAATACACATACAAATACACAGCAGGAAGGACTTTTTTTTTCCATATATGACACATGTAAAGACCTGTTTGTTTAAATAGTGTAAATATTCTGACCATGAGTGACAATGTAAGAGATGGTTGGAAGGGAAAGAATAAAACAAAAAAGTGAATTTAACCATGACCTGTAGTACGATGTTTTTTCTACACGTATGTGTAATCTCTGCATCTATCCATAATCAGTTGTGGTATTATGGAATCCTTTTATCCATACAGTATTTAACAAATCAGTTATTGAGACAGGAGTGAGTGAAATCAATCTGTTGCGTTAAATCTTGTTTGGAAATGAATGAGCTTTAATGCTTTTCTTATTCCCTCTGATTCGTGTTGATCGTGCAACATGTTGCAACATGTTCCACATAAAGAATTAATACTCTGCGGTTTACAACTTTGCCACTCCAAGTCTTTTTAAAAGCTCTCACAGTAGTGGTTCCAAAGCTTTCATGCTTGAGCCCTTAAATTGCATTTTTTTGTAAATCTTTGTCAGAGGATACAGAGCAATTGCTAATTTGATCTGATTAGGCTGTTTTATTGTCATTTTAAAAAATACAGGATTTCATGCTGAATTAAGGTAATTTTATGTGGCAGGTTTTAAGTTTTTATATTCCCTACATTGATCATAATGCCAACCTTTTAGAGTCATCTCCACTTGTACCGATCCCTTCATTCCTAACGGCCTGAAGAAAAAGTCATGATGACATTTACTGCATTTCCCAATTGTGGCGATTTAGTTAATAAAAAGAGGGATCACTGTAAAAGTGCTTTTATTGTTTCGTTTGCAGAATTACAACATTTTGTTTTGATTGTCTGCTTTTAGAATAGTCTTTTGTTGTCCATTTTTTCCCAAAAGACACATTTATTCTAATGTCCAGTTGGACCTTTAATTCAGGGGGTGATTGAAATAAAACCATGTAAAAAGGAACACAGTTTAAGACGGCACCACACAGTTTTTAGTGCAAGATCTGCTTTAAAATCGAAACATGTTTGGTAAAACTAAAATGTATTTTCTTCATTAATGAAACATTTTATTTTTCCTTGCTCATCATGCCAAAGGTTAGGGGGGTAAGTAACTGTTGCCATGCATTCATGCCTGGTGATGGGAGAACAGTAAATGTATTAAAGCAGCATGCCAAACAGTTGATCACTGCAGCGGCAGGCACTCAGGGAGCAGAACACAGAAGAGAACAGAGCGGCATCCAGATGGTCTATGGACTTGGACTACCCAGAGTGCCTTGAGAGATTGGATTGATTTGCCCTCAGCGATATCAGTGATCACAGGCCAGCACACAGGGGGGGCTGCAGCATAGGGCAACACAGAAACAGACCTCAAAACAAGTCACAAAACGTGTGCTCCCTGTCCTGAGGTGTTGGCTAGAAATATAAGTCAACCCCTGCAGAGATTTGGTAATTAGAGCACAATTCGTCTTTCTCCTCCCACTGACCCCTGAGCCTGTGTATATCTGTGTGTGTGTGTGTGTGTGTGTGTGTGTGTGTGTGTGTGTGTGTGTGTGTGTGTGTGTGTGTGTGTTTTAAAGTGTGTGATTTTGAGGGAAACAGAGAATCCCTATCTCTCTCCACAGGACGGGAGATCAAACAGACTGTGTGAAATATAGAGCAGCAATAATTAGCAGCTGTTACAGCATCAAACCTCTCTAGCTCTACCTCTCTCTCTCCAACACACACACACACACACACACACACACCCACACACACACACACACACACACACAGTACTGCTTCGTTCTTATCCCGGAGTTTAATTTAGAGATACTCAAAATGCGCTGCAACTTCTAAGTCCTCCAATACTGATAATCTCGAAGATGACACTAAATCAACCCACTCCACTTTTCCTCCTTCTTCTTCTCTCCAGTTCTTAAGCATCAAAATCACTCACACAGCTTGGAGGGATGGATGCAAGAGAACAGACGCAAACAAAAGATAGAGGCTTAAAAGCAATCACAGGACATTAAGAAATGATTAAGAACTGTTATTTTAAAAGCAAATGTATCCACCAATATGGGTCACTTTACTTTATTTTATAATGTTTCCTCACTACAGTTATTCACAAAGGGGTCATGTGGAAATTAGTAATCACAATATCACTGTACTTTCTGTCAGTGACTGATTAAATCATTACAGAAACCCAGGGTGTGTTCATGTTTTGCTGTTGTGTGTGTGTGTGTGTGTGCCTGTATGCCCCTGTGTGATTTTGTGTGCACATGCAGCAGTGTGATTTGATTTATGATGGAGAAGAAGCGGTTTCCTCACTCAATCGCTCCTGTGAATTAATGAGGTATAAAAACTAAAGCTGGCACTCAGTCAAATACAGCAGCAGTCACAGAGAGAGAGAGAGAGAGAGAAGGCGCTGAGTGCAGGGGCAGGATCACCTCTATTGGCACCACATTTGATTGTTAGATTGTGGGTATAGATTGCATCGAGCTAAAAGAGACCCTCACGGCTACTCAAGCGATCCATCGACCTAAATTGCAATGCTGTGTAAATGAGACACTTCCCAATCTCTTGCTAGCTCCCATTCTTTTCTCTCTTTTTTTTTTTTTTTCCATGTCCTGCCTCCTACCCTTCTCTTCAATCCAACCAGGTCAGTGGGGCTTATACGTTCAACTCCCCCGGCTGTTCTCCGACTGTGCAGAAGAAAAGGCGCCATTACACTCTGTCCTCTCATTCCCGCCCGTTCATTCAGAGTCTACATCTTTCACATGTACAGCACTGGCTTTAACCGCACAATGTGCTTTGTAGAATTATGACACAAAGAAAATGCCCTTCCCACCACCTTTCTCTCCCTGTGACATTCATTAAAAGTTTTCTTGAGTTGTGCCAGAGTGTGACACACAGAACCAGGCTGTTCTATCCCCAATTTACATATTTTTTACCCAAAGTCTGTGCATATTAGGAAAAGGAGTGACACTAATAACCAAAGTAATATTTCCATTCTACCACATTCAAAATTTACAAATGGAAATATTGAAAAAGGAGCTAAGAATGCTCTAAAAGCTGAGTGGAGATTCTAGTTTCCTGCAGCTGAATATTCCCTTTAGAGTCTTATCATTTGATCATATCACATTCTATATTTCTGATGGTTTGTACATCACTTTGTTAACTTTGAGAGCTTTTGAACTTCATTAAAGGTTCAGTTTAAAGAGTTATCTGTCACCAATGATGCGCCAAGAGACACTTCTGTGATTGCAGGTGCCACATATGGAAAGCTAAATGACTCTAGGCTGTTTAGAGCTTTTTACATCAAACAGATATATTACTGTGTATAACCCTGAACCAGAGGGGAGAAAAACCTTAATGCTATATAAAAGGAGTATATTTAGTTGTGATTTTTTTGGGGGGGTTCTTTTGACTGCATACATTTGAGTGTATGTTTGGCTCTCTTGCAGAGGAGAGACTTGTTTGTGTAGGACTCACATTATGTAGAAATAACTGTGAATTCTGTTCTAGGATGGATTTAAAGCTTAGAAGAGGTAGTGGGCTCAGTGATACTCTTAAACTTGGCACAGTCGCCCAAGGACACGACGCTGTCAGCACATTGCTTACACTCATCTACACACATATGCGCGCGCGCGCACACACATACACACACACGCACACACACACGCGCACACGCGCACACAGAGGTGTAACAGGGTATAATTTAGCAGGCTGTAATAGTGAGATGTGATGCTCCGTTGTAAGACAGCATAGCTAATTCCACGGTTATGTTATCTCTGAGGGACAGATGTTCCCAACAAAGATTACTATGCGCAAAACACACAAAACAAAAACCAACACGTACACAAACGGAGTGCATGCAGAGAGAGAGGCATGGGCACATTCTATCCTCAGACAATGGCAGCAGCAGGATGGTCTGAAATAGCCTTATTGACCCAAAATACAGATCAATGATGAAGTCAACTTATCCGAGGTAATTATGTGATATAATGAGTTCCTGCAGCAAACAATGAAAAAAAAAAAAAAAAAAAAGCATTTGACACATTCACATTTCCTCAACAATTATTCCATGTAGGAAACAATCAGATTAATCATGCCACCAAGTTTGACCTCCTGCCACATTGAGTCGAAGAAAAACACATATTTTACAATAAGCCTAACTACATCACCTTTTAATGATCATATTAACCACCACAAAAGCCAAATATTAACCCTTTGTGCCACTTCATTCGGTGCAGACCATATCCCAGGTCAGTCGCACAGCATACATTAACACAAGAAATCCATCCTGCACAGGAAATGGCTTCACTGCAGAGGAGAAAGCAAAACTTGATTCATGGCTTCTCACACAGTGGCTGTCAGGAAAACCCATGGGTCAGATAACCATCACTCCCATTATGTCGTTAAGTCACACTTTGAATGCACAGCAACAGCACAAAGAAGGTAATGTAGATGAGTGACATGCAGTCCTTATCTGTCGGTCTTTGAGTAAGGTCAATTTTGTCCTTGGTTCTTCTTTAAATTTCTGTCTCATTGTATGAAAGAGGAAAAAAAAAAAACTCAAAACATTGACTGTCCATGACTTTAAAATATAAAAATGTTTGCTCGTGGAAGCTGAAGGTGTTGCTTGCACAACTTAAGGCCAATTTCAGTGCTTCAGCATAACGTCAAGAATAATATTTGGAGTATGAATGAGTGGGTTAATGTGTGCATGAACAGTTATAATGCCCCCCTAAACACAGCTTGATCTCCCTCCTCCCATTGCTGTTTAACTGGTTTCAGCCCTAAGTCTCCAGATTCTGATAATTTCCCCCATAATCCTTTCAGAGGAGCCCCCATCTTAACTCTTCAATTAAGACAACATTACTCATATACGTACACCAACACAGGAAAAAAAAAATGCACATGCAGAGTGTTGCATTCAGCTATATAACGCATGGACAGTTGGTGGTTGGTTGCTGTGTTCATGTGTCAGTGTAAGCCCTGTAGAGGGTTGTTTGTGTGTATTTCAATGATTAAGTCCCCATCATGATGTTATGACGACACATGCATTTTTAAGCTGTTAATCCAGGATTATTCTCCCTTTGCTCATCTCATTACCAGCGATTATTAAAAACACATACAGGCACAAACACGCACACACATACACACACACAAATACTAATTATTGGCTGGTTTCCCAGGAGACTAAACCATGCAAGAGACGTCTCCAGTATATAGCTCGACATACAGGTTAGAAAACAATTCTACTTAATGCATGCAATGCATTATAGGCGTGAGTAATGTAACATTTTTTGTTAGTTCATGGGTATTTTAGGCATAAATATATGAAAGAGCAAACCTTCTGGACCGACGGCTAGGAGATATATCCACAAAATTCTGATTATACCTGTGCTTTGGCCTCTCAGAAAGCCATTTTGGCCTTTCAGAGAGCAATTTTGAACACAGAGCTGGACAGAAAAGCGAGTAAACAGCGGGTGTCCTTTCCCCATGATTGAATGTGTCCTTGTGTAGAAACTGCGGTCCCCTCACTCAATGAGTGAACATATTCCTGCAGTGCTGAGGCACATGCACAGGTGAGAGAATGGTCAAGGTTTTTTTTTTCGGTTTTTTTTAAGCTCACCTGAGGCTTTGTGTCCACTCTGGCCCCCACTCACACTGGGTCAGCTCAGAATAACTAGAAGGGGCTGACCGCCGATGTTCACTCTCCCTCTGAGTCATTAATCACACACCACTGCAGATGAGCCACACGGACACAAGCTGTAAAAACACACACACACACAGACACAGACACACATGAAGGCAGAAAAGTACATGCACACAAGAGCTCGTTGTAATTATAAAGCCAAATGTTGGATGACAGTATCGCTCCAGGTAGTCAGTTCTCGTGGCCTCCACTCCAAAATGCATAATCAGACACTGAGCAAGAGAGACATGGATGTCTCTATGCAAGGCAAGGTCAACAAATAACAGCACATCTTATCACATAAGGAATCAATATCCGCAACACACACACATTTTTTCGCACAGTATCATACTGTACTGTGGCTTTTCTCCTGAGTTTTATTTTATGCTCCTTAAACACAAACACACACAATCAGACCGCAGCATCTGAACTCCCGCTTTCCCCAACAGACCTCTCAGCTTTCAGCTCAGCTACTATCAAGAGAAACATCTAAGATAACGGTCCCATTTACCAGTTATGGAATTCTTCAAAGGGGCCGCGCAGCACTGAATGCCCGTGGTGTGTTGTGTTTGTTAACAGGCACGGACCATGGAGAAATACTCCGTGGTGGACGTGCAATAGCATGCAAGTCACATACTGCAGTCCCACTTCTGAAGGTGTCTAGGGAGAAAATGGCAGTTACTGGAATAATAATAAAAAAAAAATTAAAAAAAGAATCAGACATGAACCAATATATCAAGGCTCAGGTTAAGTCACAACTGTTTTGTGCAATGCACTGCAGCTGGATAACAAGCTGAGTACAAGCAGACTTTAAAATGCTATATTTGAGTTAGAAATCCAACACAAAAGAATGAAAGAAGACTAATAAATATGATGGACAATATGTGTATCTGTAGATTTTTGCAATACAAGAGGCTTTAATATATTGAAATGTATCCGTTACATTTTACATTTTCAGCAGCAGACTGGCTTGAACCATTTAGTTTCTTGTGATGCGAAATGTTTAGCTGTTGGTAATGTTCAAAGATTAATAATCATGTGACTACATAAAGTCGCTGAATGTGTTGTTTTCAAACTGCTTTTTCATCCTGATGTTCTCAATTGTTAAATTTATCAAAGTGAAAAGCATCGGTCTATTACTGTAACACAACAGTGCGCTACATAACCCTGTCTGAGTATTTTTAAAAGGATGCCTTGTGAAAAACTATTGTAAAAAAAAAAAAAAAAAAAAAAAGAAGTCAGAGTTGGCTATTTCCCGTTCTGAGAGGCTTCGTGCCGCCACTTTGAACAGTCCGCAGACACAGAAAAACATGCCGCATACGTTAATGTCAAATTCTCTCTATTGTTTCTTATCTTGTTGAATCCAATGAGTTAAAAAGAAAGGCAGGAAAACAAAGGCAGTATAAACCGAATACAATAACATTTCAAGAATGGCACACAAACTTCAAATACTAGAACCGTAACACATAAAGAAATCATTAACTGTTTGTTTGCAGACAGAGTTTGTTTTCAGCTCTTACACCCCGACGAGATATTTCACATTTCTACAATCAAAATGGACACAATGCTGCTCCTCGCTGGGTTTGGATAAGAGCTGGAGTCATTAATGTGCTGCCTTGTAGAGCTGCTTGTTGTTGAGACCATGTGTGGGTGTGTATAAGAAGAAAAAAAAAAGCATTCAAAAGGTGTTTTGCCTTTGCTGCTTATTGCTAAGAAGTAAAGCTCTAAAACTTCTTTCTTTTCATCAACATCTATCAGAGAGGTAAAGGGAGGCATTACTCAAGTATGCACTTATTACACCAAAAGCATTACACAACCAACTGTAAGAGATTGAGTAGACTGAGGCTTTTAATATCAACGTTTTTGTGAATCGCATTTCAATTGAGTGTGAAAGGATAACCATTTAAAAAGGCTCTTCAGAGAGACAACGATTTAAAGTACAAGGGGAGCATGATGGAGGTGAGTGAAGTCAGAG